ACAATTTTTCTTGGATAATCTGTTGAACCAGACACCAGATCAGCAACAGACTCTGGCTGCAATTGGAGAGGTTATATGTCGATATATTTACGTCTTCTAGAAAATTAACTCAAATTTAACAACATGTAACACTTTTGTTTCTTTATTTTATTTTCTAGGACTTATTTGCCATAGCACAAGATCAACCTTTTCGGTTTCCATCCACATTTACATTTGTTATAAGGGCATTCTCTACTCTTGAAGGTTATCCATTTTACCAACCCTGAAATTATTATAATGCCTTTTTTTCAATTGCTCTGCTAGTTATCACTTAGTTTTTCATCATTATCAGGATTTATTCTCTTTATATATTCTAGAAGTTTATTTGCATTTGCTACTGATTTATTTAAAACAAATGATTAGAAAAGCCAGAAAGTCTACGATGAAAGCTTATGATCAAGAGGATTATGTCTCCCAAAATATAATGTCAGTGCATTCACAATGCACGTCTATTTCGTATTTTCGTAGAGCTCCTCTTGGGGAAGTGATTCTATGACTGAATGTGATTCTTTAGGATAAATTCTATTGAGGAAGTGATTCTATGTGGAAAGTGAAACAGAGATATGAGTTTTTTCAGAGAATCGCCAACCTAGAATCACTTCTATGTAAAACATCATTTAGCAGAGTTCCCCCTGGAATGCGCATGGGAGCTGCTCTCCAAGCTCTGCAAAACAGGCCACTGAAATAAGATTTTTGTTATGACTATAGAATCTTCTGATCAACATGTGAACACAAACATTAGTCTTTATACTAAATCTCATGTAACAGCTGAGGAAACAGTAACATGTTCTTTCAATGTTGGCTTTATTTTCTACTTTTGCTTCTTTTCTTTTGGGGCATATGTGCTTCTGTCTTTTTCAGCACTTCTGGGCTGGTTTGTAGTTGATCTTCTCTTCTTATTAATATCATGATGAAAGCTCTACCACTTCTTCAAGATTAAAAAAAGATTTGTATTTACTCTTTATTGTTTTATTGCCTTTATCTGAATATATCATACTATCTATCGTTAATCTAAGTTCTAGGAAATCACATGCCTATCTAAATAAAGGCATGCATCTTGTTAGCCTGCTCTAGCCCAATTCATAATTTCCAATTATTCATTTATTCTCTATGATCAATTGCAACAGAAATAATAAGGTAACTACTTGTATATTGATGACTATGTTATTTGGTAGGCATTGGATACATATTGGATCCAGAATTTTCGTTTGTCAAAGTCGCAGCACCATATGCGCAGGTTAGCCTCCTGTTATTACCCTCGGTTATTTTGTCACACTAACATTTCTATTCATGTGTTTTATTTAGTCTTGTCCTATATCTTGTAAGAAGGGTCAGTACGGCTAGAAAATTAATAACATGTTACACCATCCCTTTTAGATTCCTTGGTGTGCTTGGGCTTCTTTAACTATTTCATCTAATATAGTTCTTATTCCCTTTGCTTCCTAGAAGCAGAATCCCATTTGGATGTTTCTCTGTGTATGCAAGCCTAATTTCATTTGAACTTCAGGAACTATTAGACTTGAAACAGAGACAACAACGTGGACCTCAATTGGTCCAGCAGATAAGGAAGCAAGCAAATGATGTAAGCATACAAATCTGCTGGTTCACATTTGTTTTGTTTTTTTACATTGCGTCATGTATATGGTATATTGCTCAGCACACTAAAACATTACCACTGCCATCTCTACATATGACAGGCCCGTGATTCTACCATATCAATGCCCTACAGAGTACAGAGAATTGAAGATTTTGTGGGACAACTTGAGTCAGGCGATCTGAAACTCAGGGTCAGAGTACTGGAGGTAGGCCAATGACTTTTATTGATATCTTGCATCTTCTCAAGATTGTGGGAGATGCATTGCACGAACTTTTTCTCTTTGCTCTCAAATCTGGACTGCAATAAAATCTAGTATTCGTTTTTTTTTTATATTTGGCTTCAAATCTGGACTGCACTAAAACTAGCATTATTTTTCTTTTGCCTGAATCTGAACTGAATGGCATTTGCAGTCAGAACGTGCTGCACGTAAAGCTACTGTTCTTCAGATGGCAACCATGTATACAGCCTTGGGTGGTACTCTCTTGAATGTTGGGGTCACACTGAATAGTCAAGGGAACCAAATAATTGCAAACGGCTCTTTCATTGGCGCAGGTAGGTTTTCGTTTCTCGCATACTTTCATAATATAAATACTCAACAACGTTATCAGCTCACCTTTCAGTGTTAGTCCTTTCGCGCATACTTTCACAAAATAAATTTGTACCAAATATTGCATCTTGCTAGTCCTTTTATTTCTTCTGACCATATAGGAGTATTACAAAGGTTGGTGAAACATGCTGATATATGTACATATATACCATGTAGTAGAATCAATCTATATTCAAGGTTTAAACTATCTGTGGCTAGTGGTTCTCTAGAAAAATAAGCATCGCTCTATTCCTGATTGGCCTGATCCAAACTGAAAATGTGCAGGGATATTTTTGGCATTGCTGATCAGATCTATGCAAAGAGTGAAGAAACTCGACAAATTTGAGACCATGATATGATCATCTCATTTTCTAAAGACGTGCAATCGCCGGAATTACATGGGAGCTGCGCGTCCCTTCGAGGTTGATAGCCTATACGTAGTGTATATAGTAAATTTCATTCTTTCTGGGAACAACCTAACGTGTTGCTCTTGTAAATCTGTACAAACTGTGTCATTCTTTAGCCCGTAAGGATAAGCACACCGATCACCAAGCAGTCGACAAAACAAGGAAATCAAGATAACTGTAACATACACTACACTAAGATTATACTGCCTTCAGTCTTGAAATACTAGGCGCCTTGGATATAATCTCACCATGGAGAAAAGCAGTACTAACACCTCCGGTCATCAAAGCTTGACTTGAGACAAAGCAAAAGCAACATCAAACTACTCTACTAGTTATTTGTCTTGTTTGAGACGAAAGCTTTTTTTACTAGTATTTCCCTATTGTACCTTTTATTAAATATAAATACTCCACTCCAAAAAAATCAGGTGTTTTAGTTTGGTTCAATACTCATTTTTCCCAAAATGTAAGGTGTTTTAGTTTGATTCGAGTAAATTCTATCTACAATCAAATAGGTTTATATAAAAATAAACTAACAACCCTTTGACTATTCTTACAAAGACTCATTTGATGTTTTCTTTAGGGCCTTCATACCTTTCGCAACTAATACTGAGGGTTTAGAACAACACTGCAACAATGCTACTAAGAATCCAGCTTATTTTCATTATCCTCGCTATTGTCACCGTCCTCAACATCATAACCATCGCCATTAAAGAGGTCATCAGTGACATCGGGCATAACATTTGATCTGTTTCTGGGGAGCGGTGTTGTCCCTTGTCCCTCGGCAGCTATATTTGGTTCCTCTACATTGTCTATTCAAACCCTTCTCTTAGATGCTGACAGGACCCTATACCTATGGATGAGATCTTCATCAATCTTCGCTGCAACGTCTAGCAAATTATTTTTGTTTGATGCAATCCATGAGGACTTGTACACATAGTCTATATTAGAATCGATCGAATGTACGTAACTTATCGAATGTAACTTCAGTGTTTCGTATTATATTTTGATATAAATGCTCAGGATGTATTTTAAATCATCTGAATGTAAGAGTGTACGTGATAACCTAGATATCCTAGGACTATTAAAAATATGCAAAGGCTTGGAACTTTTAAATGGAAATTCCAGTTCCATATCCTGGGAGTAAAAAATATGCAAAGGCTTAGAACTTTTAAACAGAAAATCCCGTTTCACATAACTTCTAGATAGGCGGGGCATGTTAGACCGTGTCGGTATGGCACAACAAGTCTTTGCTTTGGCACAACCATGACCTATCACATGCTGGCCCGTCTTCATGCTGTGCCGGCTCAAGCATAGCCATCGGAATATCTCTATTTGTTTTCTTCGTCCACTCATAAAACAAAAATAAAATATTTTGTATGTACCATTTTATGAAAACTTTCAACAATTTTAATTCCAGAATTACAGGAGACGTATGATAGTAAATACTAGGCAGTTGTATTCTAGTATTTTAGACATACTTATATGCCATTTTTTTAGCTGTGCCGGTCTAGATACAGCCTAATATACAGATCGTACTATATGTCAAGATCTTAGGGACGGTATGACCCTTACGTGTAGCACGACCCAAGTCGCCAGTGACTAAGCTATTATATGGCGTGCACGATGTGCATGCTGGGTAATCCGGTAACGAAATGAACTAGGATTCATTGGTCAAGAAAAAACAACTAGGCGTGATCAGCAGTGCTTTCTAGTAATCTCTTTATTGGCACGGTTCGTGGGGCTGAAAGGTACCCTTCATTTCCTACGGGATATGCTAAGCTCTTTAACCTTGTCTGCAGCACATCCTCTCGTCGTATTCCTTAGCTGCTCCTCTGTTCTAAATTATAACTTATAAGTCATTTTAACTTTCTTAAAGAGTCAAAGAATATTAAGTTTAATTAAAATTATAGAGAAAATTACAAAGATTTATGATATTAAATATGTAACTATAAAAATATAATTAATAAAAAAATCTAATAATACTTATTGATATCACAAATATTATTATTTTATTTTTTTAGTTTTGATCAAACTTGTATTATGTTTTTGACTCTCAATGAATGTTGAAATGACTAATAATTTTGGACGGGGAGTACAGGAAGGGAGCAAGGAGGAGACGCCTTTGCCTCTTACTCTCACAAAGCCTCAAGGAAGCAACAGGAGGAAGAGCAGAGAAGATAGGAATGGAGCGGAAGAATTCAGCAAGCAAGAAATACATGCGTATACATACAGACGAAAAAAAAAACACGCAAGCAAGAAAGAAAATAGGAGAGACAGAGAGAGAGAAACACACGGGCAAGTGTAGAATAGAAGAAGGAAAGTCATAGTAGGGCGGGGGCCTCCACCAGTTGTGCTCGCTCGGCTCGCCAAAATGGCAACACCAAGGCTCGCCGCTATCTTCTTCTCCTTGCTCTGCTGCTCTGCGTCCTCGTCGCGCCCTCTGAACCTGATCTCCAACAGCAGCAGTGGCTTCATCACCCATCTCCCTGGCTTCCAGGGGGCCCTCCCCTTCCACCTCCAAACAGGGTACTAGTAGTAGTATCTATCTATCTATTGGTTGCTCCATTTCTTCCTTGCCTGCACTCGTGGATGCAACAATCAGCTTATTTTGTGTTGTTCCTGGTCGCTGCCGTACATTACAGGTACGTGGAGGTGGACGAGAGCAATGGCGTCCACCTCTTCTACTACTTCGTCCGCTCGGAGCGCAGCCCCGGCGTTGACCCTCTCATGCTCTGGCTCACAGGCGGCCCCGGATGCTCTGTCCTCACAGCTCTTGCCTACGAGATCGGTATGTGTGGGTGTGCTACTCTTCGTTGTCTTCCCTTGGCTGACATCATGCCATGTGCCGACACAATTCTAGTTTCCTCAATTCTATCCTCTCAAGAACCCAGCCACATTCTGCTGTTATTCCTTTTCTTTTTTTTTTCTTACGTATATACGATATATATGTATATGCCGTGCGTGTGTCATGTGTGCACCCATGCTCTGCCATTCAATGGAAGCATGGGTCTTCTTCAATATAACTGGAGAAATATATTATGGCCAGCTTGTGTTTTCCATATATTACACACGATGTTGCCATTTGTATTTTTCTACCGTCATACCTTGGTACCTGTTATGTTTGCCTTGTTCCTTCAGTCCAAAAGAAAGGACGACAACATCATTTGCACGTTATATTAGTATAAGTTTCTGTAGGGCCATTGGAATGCAGCACCAACTTATGATTTGGGAGGTATCATATGTTGTTTGGTGTAACTTTAAACTTTTTGGTACCCTGGTATCCTCAAGGACTATACAAAAAACATTCTTATATTAGTACTATATATATGTATAATTTGCAGGCCCTCTCAGTTTCGACCTTAACGGCTATGTTGATGGCTTGCCTAAGTTGGTGTATAATCAAGATTCATGGACCAAGGTTAATACTTTGTCTCTCTCAACCATCCATGCATCTGACAAAAACGCAACTTGTCATTGTTCCTTCAATTCGCTTTTGCATAACCCAGGTGAGCAATGTCATTTTTCTTGATTCTCCGGTTGGCGCTGGGTTTTCGTATTCTGACACGGAGAAAGGCTACAAATCAAGTGATACCAAAGCTGTCAACCAAATCGTCATCTTCCTCAAGAAGGTCGCTGTCTCCTCTAATTAAACTCAATTTTTCAGTTATCAGAAACCCTAATTAATAAGCATCCATGCATTTTAAATTAAAATTGATTGGTTTGCAGTGGTTTGATAAGTATCCACAGTTCTTGTCAAATCCTCTTTACATCGGAGGTGATTCGTACTCTGGTATGATAGTGCCAACTGTTACATCGGAAATTGCCAGAGGTAACTTCTCATGCCCCCCTCTTTTCTGCACAGATATTTTACGCATTTCTACTCAACTAATAACTTACCTAGACGGTTACTTTTCCAGGTAAAGAAGATGGAAGTCAACCAAATCTCAATTTAAAGGTTTGAGAATTGTACCGTTGTCTGAGCATATATAATAGCTCTCCATATAAAGGTTTTCAGATTTCAGAATGTTTTTGGCGTATCATGTTCAGGGTTATCTCGTAGGTAATCCAGTCACAGATTTCAACTTTGATGATCCATCCAGAATTCCATTTGCTCACGGGATGGGTTTCCTATCAGACGAAATATATGAGGTGAGAATGGACAATTGAACAACACCAAATGGTACTATTGTGTCTGTGTGTGTGTGTTTACAAACCTAATTACAGCAGTTTTGTCCCTGTTTAATTGCTATTAATTTACCTGCGTCTTGGTATTTTCAGGCATACAAGAAGAGCTGTAGTGTTGGTGACAGCAGACACCAAAGCATAAGCATTGAGTGCATAAATAGCCTTGGTGCCATAGATGAGGCACGTATTTAACCACAACATTACCCAATTCTTGTTTCCAAGCATGACACTTCTGATCACTTTTCCAATGATACTGGCACAGACTGACTGACAAATTAAACGGTTTCTTTTTTAAGTGCATCAAAGGCATATGCCCGAATCATGTTCTGGAGCCGCTATGCGCTTTCGCGAGTCCTCAGCCTCACAAGACGCCGAAGCTGAAGTTGAATTCAGGCGCACGGGAGATGCTCCAGCTCCCAGTGTACATTGGAGAGGAAGAGCCTCACTTGTCTGAGATTTCACTGCAGTGCAGAGTTAGTACTGAGCATCTTTTGGCTTACATGCAACTTTCAAGAGATCTTATCTGACATTTCAAAATGATCGTATACCATTCTTTGCAGACAGCAGGATACATAATGTCCTACATATGGGCAAACAATGCCTCAGTAACAGAGGCTCTTGGTATTCACAAGGTTTGACAGCTTAAACATGCATGATTCTAAACATATGCAGCCAATCTCTTCTCTCTTATAAATCTGTTTATGACTGAAAGCTGTTTCGATGTACTACTGCTCATCGACAGCCGCCTGCCTACCATGATTCTAAGACATTATTTCAAACAGAAAATGCCATCCCTTCGGCTTATGATGATAACCAGAAAATATAACATGACAATTCTATAACACAGGGAACAGTTCCTGCGTGGTCAAGGTGCAACTACGAGATACCTTACACTAATGATATTCCAAGTACGGTGAAGTACCATCTGGATGTGACCACTAAGGGCTACAGATGTCTTGTTTACAACGGTGATCATGATATGGTCATACCTTTTATCGGCACACAAGCCTGGATTAAGACTCTTAATTTTTCTATCGTGGATGAGTGGAGGCCATGGTTTGTCGACGGCCAAGTTGCAGGGTGAGTCCATGTTTATCATAGTAATCGGTCTAGAAACACAATTACAGTACATGTTCTTCAGGCAGACTACTGCCCGAACATCAAACCATTTTGATGTTTTTATTATGAGAAGAAAAACAAAACAAGTGCTGATACCATGTCATAAAGTTATGTTAATTTAATGATTTAGATATATACAATTCATGCAGGTTTACAAGGTCATACTCAAATAATCTCACCTTTGCAACCGTAAAGGTAAGAAGGCATGGCTAGTTATCCATTCAATGAGAATTTTTTTTTCTTGTTTCCTTATGTCAATGTGACCATTGTTGCCTGATATCATTCTTGACACATTATGCTGTATATTTTGGTTTGTGTAGGGTGGTGGACATACTGCTCCGGAGTACATGCCAAGGCAATGTTTTGCTATGTTTACGCGGTGGGTTTCTGGTGACCCCCTTTGATGGCGTACATAGCAGATCCAAGTTTCAATGCATTACATTGCAAGACAAATGTATTGCTTGGGATCTGGATCAAGGACAACAGTTGTGGAAGGAATGCTGATTTATGATACAAGTTATTCTTAGCGTCTATTCATGATGTAGGGTACTTTTTTATGTCAAACTTCACTAATTTTAGTCAAGTTTATAGAAAAATACACTAACATCTGCAATATCAAATTAGTTTCATTAAATTCAAAACAAAATAGTGTAATTATTTGGCATTAGTGTTGTTCTGTTTTGTTTTTTTATATAAACTTGACCAAAATTGGAGATATTTGACTTAGATAAAACTAAAACAACAAAGAACGTATCATATACTTATCTTAGTGATGGCAATAAAAAAATATACATTTTTATAGTTGGGGATCGGGTTGAGAACTCGAGGATAGTTTGAATAGTTTATATGTAATTTTTTTGAAACAGAGTTTGCACTTTATTATCAGGATAGGTTTATTTACATCATGAGCCTCCAAGGTTTTTGCAAACTCTGAGAGGGGGTCAATCCAAATCATGCAGTCGATCTAGGTCACAATTCAAACCAATGCGAGCAATATTATGTGCATACCTATTACAAGAGTGTGGAGAATGGACAACATTAACCCGGACAAAATTTATGGACATAAGAAACTTTTCTTCTCTAAACGGACACCATAAGATGAAAAAGGCATAAGTACGAGATTGGAGAGCCTCTACTAAAACTAATTGTTGAATCGGTCTCAAAAGAATCTGATACATACCTTGATTCATTGCCACATATAGAGTTACAAGACACGTCTGCATCAACGCATCATGTATGAATCGCTTGGCTATTGCAAAGCATTTCGTAGCCCACCTCTAATGAATCAATCAGTATATCCCCACCTAAGCATTAAACGGCCCACAAAAGTGCTACATGGGCCTATAGAGCACTAAGGCTTGCCCTCAGCCAACTGTCATCATCTTCTGCAGATTCGGAAGATAAGAAACAATCATCTTAGAGATCAAGTCGAGAAGAGGAAGCTTTAGTAAGGTGGAATTTATACATGAAAACAGACAGTCCAATCATGATGCTCATTTGTTAGTTAGAAGTTTGGTTAGTCTTTATTTGACAGAGTTTGTAATCTAATTGCTTGTGCTGAAATGTTGTGAGAGAAAAACATTGTTCCATGGCTGAAAAGTAGCTCAAGCAAACAGGGCGGTCGTCTGCAGATGCTGGAAGAAATTTGGAAGAAATAACACTCCAACAATTCAATTCATTGGTACAGAGAGCGCTGCTAGGCTGTGTAGTATGCGTAGGGTTGAAAACGGTCGGGAAAACACCGTAACCATTCCCGCTCCTGCATTATATGACCGGGAACGGTAGCGGGAACGGGAAAGTCGGACGGGGAAACGAATTCGATATTACGGGATATCGGGAACGGAATACTTTGATCGGAAACGTGTCGATTACGATCGGGAATCGATAACACAAAAACGGGAACATCGATATACATGTAACCACTTAAAACTGTTAGCTCGACGCAATAATTGCAACCATGCATATACAGATGAAAGCAACACAGAATGACAGCAACATATCCACACCACAGCTTGAGTGCTTGACAGAATGACAGGTTGACAGCAACACAGGACAACAGTACAGTCACATAGCCACTGAGCAGTACAATACAGTCACATCACAGTTCACAGGCAATGAGGCAAGGCAACCACACACAGGCAATGGCACAACGCAGAACGCACAACCACAGGTCCAACACTCAACTCACTCACAGACAAGAGACAATGAGACAACCTACTGGTCCAACACTCAACTCACAAGTACAAGTCCAAATTAAAAATAAAACATGCCCAGCTGCCAACAGCCAAACACACAATAGATGAACATATCACAAGCAGACAACACTACATGTCAAAGAAGCCCAGATCATCTCCATGTGGTCCATCATCTTCGTCATCGCTGTCCGTGACATCGTCATCCTAAAAAAAAGGAGGCATCAGTGTTACAGTAACAAACAATGTAGCAAAATGACTTAAAGATAACTCAATTGACAATACCTCAATGTTCAGCTTTGAAACAAGGGCCTCAATAACTTCAAGATCACCAACAATAGAACCAATCTTCTTATATGAAATTCAAAGTAAGCCAAGACTCATATATTAGCAAACATGATTATAATAAAATATTGTACAACTAAAACTAAGATGCTTTTCTAACCTCTTCTTTCTGCAGCAACCCAATCTTTCATGCATATCAAAGCTTCAACCATTTTAGGGTTAAGGCGGCTACGGAAAGGATCAACAACACGTCCACCAGCGCTAAAAGTAGACTCAGAAGCGACAGTTGAGACTTGTACAGCTAGCAAATCACGAGCTATTTTTGAAAGAATAGGATACTCATCGGTCTGGTTCTTCCACCATGACCATTGAGCCTCAGAGGCGGATCTGCCATGTACTTGTCCAGCTCATTCATATCATCAGCACCATGCCCACTAGACTCATATAAGAAGTTCTCTAGTTCATCATCTCCACTGTCCACTAACATGTCATCTGTATATATATATCCTTAGCATCATTTGACCCACTTTTAGGCCTTGAAGATGAAGGAGCAGCAGCAGCATAGAATTGGTACAATTTCTTCATGACATCAACAAGTTCATCAACATGAACTTGAGATGAGATGCCATGGAATTTTCTCATGTAGAACTCGATAAGCCTTTTCTTATATCTAGGATCTAGAAAGCAGACAACAGCAAGTGTAGTGGATGATTTCTTCCAATATTTTTCAAACTTCTTACTCATAGAAGTAGCCATTGCACTAATAGTGATATCTTGACAAACAGACCATTCATCTAGTAAAATCTTTATCTCACAAAACCCTCTATAAAACAGATTTGCAGTTGGATATAAAGTACCAGACAACAATTCAGTGAGATCAAATAATTTCTTCAAGCATTGGAACAATTTAAATGCCATGGCCCATTCACCAGGAGGAGTGATTTTTTCATACCTATAGTGATCTGATGATTTAAGCCTCATGAATGCATTCTTGTAGTACAAAGCATCTCGAAACATCAAATACGTGGAATTCCATCTGGTTGACACATCAAGTGAAAGACCCTTGTTTGTATCCAGCCCACACTCAGTTGCACGCTTCATGAGCTCCTCCCATTGCAATGGAGATCCCTTGACAGCAAGAACTAGTTGTCTAATATTCTCAATTGTGGGTGTGATTACACTCAAACCATCCCTAGCAACAAGGTTCTGTATGTGACAAGCACACCTCACATGGAAGAATAGTCCATCACATATTAAAGACGTTGAACTAGCATTGGCCCTTAGATCAGAGATGATGTCTTTGACTGCTACTTCATTTGCTGATGCATTATCCAAGGTCAGAGCAAACATTCTCTTGTCAATATACCACTTATCCATAAGTTCAGTAAATGTCTCAGAGAGCTTTGTACCAGTATGATGGCCCTGTACATGCACAAAGTTCACAATCCTTTTCTAGATACACCAATTGTCATCTATCCAATGTACAGTTACACACATGTATGACTTGTTCTGATTTAAAGTCCACATGTCCATGGTGGCACTAAACCGACAAGAGACGGATTTGAACATGCTATACAACCTCTCCTTTTCAGCTAAGAACGTGTTCATAATTTCTTTCCTAATGGTAACACGAGATCTGATTGGAAAGGTAGGACGCAGGGATTTGATGAAATCAACAAAATACTCATGCTCAGATATATTAAATGGGTACTCATGCATGACTATGGCCAAGTAAAACTTTCTCAAGCTAGCCTCTTCATCATACCTGTATGGTACCACAGCAATCATGTCTTTCCCCCCATCTTTTCCACTTTGAGCTGCTGCTGGCCCTTCACTATACTATGTGCCACCCTCAGATGGGTCCAAAATCCAGTTGTTCCGTAGTTGCTCTCACATCTGCCCTTGTGATTGCATTTGGCCTAATCGCAATAAGCCCACAACTGAACATATGTCTTGCCATTATCCTCAACGACCACTCTCTTCTTGGTAAAATACTGCCATACATTGGATGTGCACCTCTTGTGCCTCTTTCCACAAGGTACATCTCCCTCTTGCACAGGCTCATCACCCTCAACGATGATTGCACTTGCAGTACTTGTTCCAGCAGCAACAAAACATCTATCACTTGCACCAGTAGCACCTATGTCACTTGCAACAGCAGCACCTATATCACTCGCACCACCAGCACGTATGTCACTTGCAACGACAGCACCACTACCACCAGCACCTTCTAGGCCAGCACCACCTGAACCACTGCCACCAGCACCACCTGAACCTGAACCACTGCCACTAGCAGCAGCACTGCCACCTTGACTTGGACTAGATGCAGGAGTTGCACTTGCAGATGATACAGACAGACATATACCAAGATCTTTACCACAATTACCAGGGCTTTCACTTGACCTCTTAGATCCTGCCAAGACAAGAATAGAACACAACAATATGAATCTAAGACACCAGTATGGATCAAAATGACCAAAGTAATTGGACCTTACTCAGTTACTTTTACTCATGCATCTGTTAGTTTGGGAATGACCAAAGTCACAATTGCTACTGTCATTTTGATTCCAATTGCAACCAAGCAATGACCAAAGTCGCCGAGGTGAGCTTTTGGAATAAAAAACAGCAGCCGTAGTTCGTAATAAGGGGGTTCAAATTGCCCGCTAGAAAGGTAAGCTTAGGGAAAGAATCAAACACAAACATGAGAGTCAACTAAAACTCGATGCCCAAAAGATGAGGGCTATATTCAAAATGTTCATCAGGTTCACAACCTTCCACAGCAAGAGGGGCAGGAATAAGCGAAGGCCTTTGCAATTGGAATCAAAATGACAGTAGCATCTGTTGGTTGCAATTGCAATATGAATCTAAAACATTCATTTGGGAATCAAAATGACAGTAGCAATTGGACCTTACTCAATTACTTTTAC